GCATTTTCGTAATGAGCTTCTGCAAGCTTTAGAATCTAAAATTGGAATTAATCACATTTTCTCTTCTGTATACCATCCACAAAGTAACGGTCTCGTAGAACGTTTTAACGCCACATTTGTACCACAATTGGCAAAACTTCAAGATCGCCAGAAAAATAATTGGGATGAATTCCTCCACGCCGTAGTTTTTTCGTATAACACTGGTAAACATCATACAACCGATTATTCTCCATTTGAACTTCAGTTTGGTCGTAAACCCCGACTCCCAACAGATAAACCATCATCGAAATTAGTATTCAAGAAACCGAATGACTATTTTCAACAATTAGAAAAGAGTATCAAAATTATTCATCAAAATGCACGTCAAAACATTGTTAATCAACAAAATCGAATGAAAGGTCGCTACGATCAGAATAGACCAGATCCGCATTATAATACTGGAGATAGAGTTCTTATCAGAATACAAGGAAATCGTTCAAAATTAGATAACAGGTTTTCTTCAACACCAAAAATCATCACAAAAACGCAACACCCAACTTATGTTCTACAAGATCCAGAAACTCATCAAGAATATCGATTACATGTTAATGATTTAAGACCAATTCTGGAAATCGGTTCACATTAAACATAATTAATAACACCAATTTTTTCTATCATTCATCCACTGTTCTATTCTTTGAATTTGGAAATGTTTTAACTTTGAATTTCTCTTGTCTGGAGAACCAAAGTTGGCACATGGTTATAAGTGATTTATATACGATTATTGTTCGCGACTATAATTTCTATTTGATCACTGATCAGAATATTGAGTAGTGTGAGGGATATTGATGGCTCGATGTAATGTTTTTGACAAAACGTTCAAGCTGATCCTGGATTCTGCCTCTTTGCAGGGATCCAATACGGGTACCCTGGATTCGGCCTTTGACTAAGGAATGGATCTGCTGATTCGATCTTCGAAAAAGATTATCTGAAAAACAATGGAATAATTATGTTAAAGCCACTAATAAAGCATTAGAAAAAGAACAACTTCGTCAACAACACCCACCATATGAAATTAAACAGTATTTACAAACAACAACACTTATCAATTACCAAACCAGTATTGAAGAATTGAATACCATCATCGAATATACAAAAAACACTGTTCATTATTGTTTTGATACTGAATCAACCAATACTCAGTCATCAACTTTACCATCTATAATACAAATTGAACTGTATATGTCCGAAAATGATTTTTCTAATTTCGTTCTCATCGACTGTGAATTTCTTCCACCATCATATTCACCAAAATTTGAATTAATTAAAGAATTCGTTAAAACTGTTTTAAAACATCGAAAAATAATCGCATGGGGAGAATTAGTCAATGAACTTCGTCCATTTCTCAGATTTGGAATCTTCGACGAAAATCAGTTACCATATCATTTTGTTAATGTTCAAGATAAATTTCATTATTTCATGCTTGGTAGGACTCCACCTCTTCGAGGGGAAAGGGGTCTGAGAAGTACGGATAATGAAGAAGACGCCGAAGTAGAAGATTTATTGATAATACATGCACCACCGAAACCAATTGATCCTGTTCACAATGACTGGTCATTACAACGTGCCACAGCTACAACATTTGAATTATCCATGGATAAATCATTAACACTTAGTACATGGAATTGTGGTTTAGATAAAAGATTGAATACATGGCTTAATCCTCAACTACAAGGTCAACATCTTGAAGAAAATAGCGAAACACAACTTTTATTAAGAAGAAACATGGTCACTTATGCATTAATCGACTGTCATGCTACTAGTCGTCTCTACAAGCACATAAAACCAGCCATTGATCCGTCTCCTCCTCCATCACCACAACCGCCATCTCATCTTCCCCAAGAAGTTTTATCTCCAGCATCACCAAAGATCATTCGATCACCTTCTCCTCCACAAATTGAATGGGCTTCACTTCACACCACATCATCACAAATAGAACCACAAATTGTCACGTTTGTTCCTCGCACTGATCCACCGCAACCATCATTAGTTTATTCAGAGGACACTCTTCAACAAAATGACGATGAAACAGAAAGTGATCAAGACCAAGAACAGGAACTCGATCAGCAAAAAAGAAAACATGGACCACGATCCTTACAATCAAAAAGAAAAAGAAACAGAAAGAATGCCGCAAGAAAAAGTGCAAAACGTTATAACAATTACATTGAAATCAACGTCGATCCTCGATACGCATTACCACATATTAGAGAACATCTGAATTGGAAACTTATTCAATTTAAACATATATCCATCACCATTATGGGACACCTTATCATTGGCTTTACATCTGCAGAAGATTTAGAACAATTTAAAAATAAAATGGGCATTAGTTATTTTGAAACATTTCGTCCATAAAGTAAAAGGGAACACATTCGCTTCACATTGGGAATCTGGATCCTGCCTCTCGGAGAGGCTGGGATCTGAGTCAGGTCTCCTGAATATTTGTTCACCTTGCCTTTTTTTATCTCTCTGTTTAGATTTATTCATATTCTTATAACTGTTTTTATTTTATCTTCATTTCAATGGCTATTAGCGTGTCTTCAATTGAATATCAACAACAAGTGCATATTGGTATTTAATTAACAACATCAAAGAACAGGGAACATCCGAATTGAAGGACATTGATCACCGGACCTTTTAAGACGGTGGAATCGTCTTTTTTTTGAGAGCGGGGCGTGTTATGTCCTAGCAGTTAGACCATGTGCTAGTCCATAAGTTTTATTTAACGCATGTACATATATTCATATATACATTTCATTCCTTCTTTTCTTTGCTCAAGTGGACGGATCTTCTTTCTTCTCTATTTATAAAACAGTCTGAAGATTTTGTTTTACTTTTTTTCATTTTTATATATATTCAAACTGTTTTCATTTTTATATACTCACTCTGTTTATATACACACATTTAAAAAGATATTTAAACTGTTTCATTGCTATTTTTCATTCTGCTTATATAAAATAAATATTAAAGAGATACGATATCGCTTTCATACCCATTAACACAGGTTGGTGATTTCTCTTTCGCAGCAGATTTTGTTCAGCTTCTCCAGAATCCACTAGACACTGGTCTCGGCTTATTCATAGAGGCGTGGGACTGAACTCATTTCTCGTGATTACTAGTCGTTTTCAGCATCGGAGAGCTAACAAACACTCTTCGCGAAATCGAAGATCTGTTAACCAAACACATTTCTGATAAAGAGTTAGCAGAACGAGCTATATCTAAGCTGAAAGCACTTACGGCTCCCATTGATCTTTGGAAAGCCCATCTTCTTAGGACTGTGAACCAAGACTGGTGTCGAGATGATCTCTTGGATTCGCTATCGGATGATGCGTTTTTTGTTTACATAGACTGGGCCATGAAATGGCTACCGGAGAAATACCGGGACACACAATCCGAGTTCTTCGGAAAACGTGGTCTTTCTTGGCATGTAAGTGTAGTTGTAAAAAAAACCAATCATCCCGATTCAGATAACTTCGAATACAAAACTTTTGTTCACGTATTCGACGATTGTATACAAGATAGCACGGCAGTCCTGAGAGACACCTTATTGCGAATGCATAAAAAAGATCCGATTCTTCGACGTTGCTTTATTCGCAGTGATAACGCAGGTTGTTAGCACTCAGCGCAAACTGTTCTTTCCATTCCGCAGATCTCGAAAGATACAAAAATTTTTATCGAGCGATGTGATTTCTGTGACCCTCAGTCGGGTAAAGGCCCGTGCGCTCGGTATTCAGCAGTCGAGAAAAGTCATGTACGCCTTCATATGAACGAAAAGCAAAACAATGATCATCCTCACTCGATCGATGAAACTGAAGAAACAACGAGTGACAAATTGTACGATTGCCAGGAAGATGGTTGCGACGCGACATTTCTGAAGTTTGGGAACTGGCTACGTCATATTTTGGTTGGAAAACATCACCGACTGCCAGAAAGGCATTGTATGACGGACACGGCAGCGATCGCATACAAATCCAGCCTGGAGCGTATCGAAAATCGTGAAACGATTTCCATGCAGCTAGAGCAACCGATAAATGCCAACTTCATCCACTTATCTTGTTTTCGGAGGGCTGGGCTTTACCACCTCCAAGGAAGCAGGTCCGTTTGACGAACAAACAGCACTCATATCTAATTGAGAAGTTTGATGACGGCGTCAAAAAAAAGATGAGATGGAAACCAGAAATGGTTGCCAAAGATATGTATGATAAGAAAGTAAACGAGAAATTCTATTTTTCATGAGATGAATTTCTGAAGCCATCTCAAATCCGATCATATTTTTCTCGACTGGCATCGAAACGAAAAAATTCTTTGGAAAGTTATAACGATATTCATACGATTCCAGATGGAGAAGAGTCTGAAGCTCTAAAGGATGAATGCGCCATCGAAGAAAACAATCTCTTTCTAACAGTTCGGAAACTTTACTCGCCTGATGAGTCAACTTCAGATGACAAACCGGGATCTCTAAAACGACCCAGTGTTGACCAATCAGAGCAGAAACCGAAACGAGCGTCGTTTCGCAGTCAAAAGTGACAAGGCTTCATCTTTTTCAACTTTATTGTGTGTCGAACATAATAGACCATCCAGACTAATGCCTTTTATCAATCTTCTTATCTTCTTTTCTCTAATGGTCTATTTTCATCATCGGTAACGATTACTTTTTCAATCTAGCTACTAATCTTTCACTGACAATAAGCATGAGAAAAACAAAAACCAAAAAAATTAAAAAAAATCTTTTCAAAATAGGATGGGCTCTACGCGCCGAAAAGGATCAACGCTCTGTGTGTTCGTGACACAAGGAGCGGCCAACAATCCTATGCTATCACTGGCATAAAAACTGCTGAGTCACACGAAGTGAACTTAGCAATAGGCCGTCCAATTTTGCCAGAATAGGTGAAAAATGATTCGTTTCTTAATCCATATAAAAATTTGATGAAGTTCGAATTATCATTCATTTTGTTCAGTTTTTCGTGCTGATCACAAATATACACTTGATTTCGAACAACTGTCGTA